GAGATTTGAAAAGGGAGGAAAAAAAAGTTCGGCAAAAGGCGGGATCGAACCCAGGTCGATTGCATCATAAAGCCAAGGGCACGCAATTATCTATCTGCACCACTGGAGCTGATGTTTTACAGTCACTTTTAACTAAATGTAAACATATACTCCGTAGTTTTAATTCCATAGTTAGGGCAATTCATACAATACATTTAAACTGAGCTACTTTAATACCATCTCCGAACTTTCTACCACGACTCTGCTGTTCTTCGGCTGGTTCTTCCTGTATACGTTGATTGACAGATGTCTCGTCCAGTCAGCGGTGAGTAATCCCAAACCAATGGCGCTGTCTCAAACTATACCTACCTCTTCCGGTTTGTCTGATTTGTCGTTGTGTTTTCTGACTTGTTATAATGTTTTCTGAATTGTTGTTGTGCTTTCTGAATTGTTATTTTGTTTTTTAGACTTGCATTTGCGTTTGTAATTTGTTATTTTGTTTTCAGAATTGTGATTTGCTCTGCACTTCTCGGCCACCGTATTAATAGTACCTTATATCGTAATTAGTTTGTATTTAAGTCATGAACGCATAAACACGGCCTGAGCTTCTCTTGTCAGTAGCCTTTGAAAACGTTTTAGGTGCAAAGTACTCCAGCAATGGAAAATGGACTGACATTGTTGACATATGTGTTTATGACTTACCATTAAACTCCAATGAAATGCCACTGAATGGCAATGTTTTCCAAAACCTTATCTGCTTACTGTCCCATGCTAGTTTAGAATTACTGCATTAACCTCTAAAATCCTAAATAAAGATAAATATTTTAGTCTAAACACATTTTATTTACATAGCACATGCTTGTACAGTCATTTAAAGCCCTATGACAAACATATTTATGCATGCGGATGTGTTCAAAATCCTGTCACGTATATACATAATCTTATAAGATAATTAACAGACAATTTTTCAAATGTAAAAGGAAAAACATTATGATTGGAGCTTGTTTTAAAACACTGGTTCCTGTGTTTTAAAACGGGATTCTGTAGGCTACTCCTCTTTTCCTCCTTCACACAATAGATCAGGCAAATCCATAAACACAACAGACAACAAAATATTGCACACATCTGCGTTTTAGCTTCTTCGGATGAACATCTTTAAAAACAATAAGGCATATAAAGCTGCCAAAATGTGGTATGACCCTAAATTTACGCCAGAATTAAAAAGGCATAGGCTAACTAGTTTAGGATTTATACTGATATTTAGTTCTGCAAGAACATATTAAGTATTCACCCTATTTTTCAAACATCTCAGACTGCAGTGTTTCGTTAGTAAATGTCTTGTATACTTAAAAATAATTATTAAAAAAAGGGGGGAAAAACTATTCTGCTTGCACTTGTACTGTGTGTCTGAACTAGCTTGCACCTGATCAACTTTGCAGATCCTTATGATTCAGTTGCTTATGATGTAGGCCTACTTTGTGTAGTCTGCTTTGAATAAATGTGAGTATAAATGTACATGATGAAAATAGCGACTAAAACCCCTACAAAGATGCCAACGACTACTCCGATAAAAGACCCCCTAACTCCACTTTCAGCTCCAGCGACTGATCCCAGAAGTGCTCCGAATGCACCCATCAGTATCAGTACAAACTGTTTGAAGTCCATGGTGATTTTTGATGCGTCTTCTGAATGTTTGGCAGCCTCTACAGATTCTTTCTTCTCCTCTGAATCTCCTTTGTGTTTATTCACTGTAAAAGAAATTAACACTAATAGATCAGTGTGTAACTGAGATCAGCTGTAGGTTTAGTGAAATAATACTCACAGTTTGGAGGATCCTTTTGCAAACTTCCCCGTCTCTGCCTGATCTCAGTTGCACCAAACCCTTCTTGTGTCTTCTGCTGAATCAATATATATATCAAAATACATCAAAATAATGCTTAAAATTATATGAACTATCAACCAACCTTGCAATGCTAGCTGTTTTTTATTCTTCACTTCCGTATATACTATTCCATAAATACTTTCAGTTTTGTGTTTATCCAGGTAAATCAAGTACAGGCTCGCCTGTTGAAATGTCATGGCAGCTCAAAAAGAAACCAATCTACTTATAATTCACTTAGGTATAGATACAGAAACAAGTACATGCATACAGTACTGCCATAGAAAATATTTTAATACATTTTAAGACTTCAGAATTTGGGTGTTAAGTGTGTATAGTTACATTACATGAAATACATGAAGTAGACTGTCATACTATCGTGTGACGTTATATGTTTCGTGTGTCTTATGGCACATCATTGACCACATGTCACGTCCTTAGTGTATATATGCCCTAACGTGGTCTGTCCTGTTTTCTGTTACTTTAATCAAAAATATTCCATTGTTGGAAACTACACACAGATAAATTGACTCACCCTGAGGAGATTTAGTAGCCTTGATCACAGTATGTGCAGCTGCTTCATAACATGTGCTTCATGGAATCTGATAACAAGAAAACACACAGTTGGTTCTGCTGTGCTACAGGTTTCACTTAATACTAACAACCAGTTTATACTGCTGGTTTAAAACCATTAAGCAATCCTGATCACAGAAGACATAACACTAATTTTGTAGCACTTATGCATGTTCATTTGAGGTATGAATATGGAAAAATGTGGGGAAGGTGAATGTCACACAATAACAAAAGTACAGTTTAGCTAATTCGTTTTTTTCTGGGTTCACCCAAAATACATTGCCGTTATTACATGTAAATTTACAATGTTAAGGACATTTTTTGGACTCTGAATCCTGTCACGCATCGGCCTACATTTCCAATGTATTACTTGATTCTGAAATAAATCATTATGTAAAAATAACAGCATTTAATATATCAACAGTTGGTTTCAAGATATCAGAGGAACACAACCACTTAAAGATGTTTCGAAGTCTTTTTAGTAGTCTTTTTGTTGTTGTTGTTGTTTAAGCTCCGAGTGAGCCTATGCTGAAAAACTTATGCAACAGCTTTTTTGTACATGCAAGCACAGAAAACATTTCAAACATAAAGCAAAATATGATATTGTATCAACCTACCTCACATTCACTAGGTTGTTTTTCTGTACTTCTACTTCCCTATAAAAGTGTACTTTGATTTAGGGTGTGGCTGAACTTGTTTAACAGTAGTTGGTCATAAGACGGTGGTGTGATATCTTGCAGGAGGTGTGTGCACTGTCAGAAGTGTTTACTGTAGCCGTTCTGTCTGCAAACATTGCCATTAGTAGGGGCCAAAATACTTCACCTAATTACTTTACCCAAATATAAATCTAGCTATACAATTACAAATACATTCAGACTGAAAAAATGCCATACATAAAGATAAGAATTTCTTTGTGTGTCTGGTTACTTGACATGAAATACTTAGACATACCCTTCTCAAAACTATTAACAATGAACTGGTGAAGGCAAAAATGTGATCGAAATTAAAAAATTCTGTCATTTGCAGAAAATGGGAGAGTGGGGACGGTTGCAACATTTTTGCATTTTCTCAGAGACTGATTGTTTCAGAAAGCTAAAATTTTAGTACAATAAAGCCACATCTGTCAGCTATGCACTCACATTGCTGTAACATGAACATTTAATGATATTTGTCAAATTTATACTTGAATAGACAAAGTCAGATGTTGCAACTGACCCCACAACAGGGGACGGTTACATCAGTCCACAGGGTAGTTGCAATATTAATTAAGATGGAATTAAAATCATTCTTAAATATCATTTAGCAAGTTCTTTATTTTCTTTGTGCAGACAGGGTCTTCAATAAGCTAATTTGCATTTAGTCATTTAGCAGACGCTTTTATCCAAAGCGACTTACAAATGAAGACAATAAAAGCAGTCAAAACTAACAAAAGAGCAACAATAAGTTCAAATCACAAGTCTCGGTTAGCCTATAACGCAGTGCTTTTACATTAGTGTTGTGGTAAGTGACAACATTTTGGGACGGCTACAACTGTTCCTATTGAACAGCCATGATAAATACTAGCTTGACACAATATCTTTGACACATGCTAGCTATGCCTAGAAGCTAAAACAACACAGATTAAAAGATTTCAAATGCTTCAACTTTTACATTAGTGTTGTGGTAAGTGACAACATTTTGGGACGGCTGCAACTGTTCCTATTGAACAGCCATGATAAATATTAGCTTGACACAATATCTTTGACACATGCTAGCTATGCCTAGAAGCTAAAACAACACAGATTAAAAGATTTCAAATGCTTCATGTAAGCAGCTTAGACAGTATGACAAAAAATCTGATCATTAAAAAAATACTTTTTTACCATGAAAATTATTTTTTGTAGGAAAGGTCACATGCGGCTGATTTAAGATAAACTGATTTAAATTGATTGAAATAAGCCATGTTGCAATTGCCCCTCATTGCAACCATCCCCACTCTCCTCTACGTGAAACACAACTTGCTCTTAAACGTACCCTATGAGGCAGGTTAACATCTGTTGGAATGGATTCAGTGTAGGACTAATGGAAATGATTTTATTTTTTGTACACTACTTGAGGACTATGAGTATGTTTACACGAAAAAATATTGTTTATATTTGTTTATATTAATGCTGTCAGACGATTAATTGCATCCAAAATCGCGATTTAATCACGATTAATCTTTTGACAGCACTAGTTTATATTTAACTTGTGCATTAAATATACACATTAAATATACGTTCAATTGCTTGGTAACGCAAATTGCTAATCAGCCAATCACATGGCAGCAACTCAATGCATTTAGCGTGACTTGCTGAAGTTCAAACCGAGCATCAGAATGGGGAAGAAAGGGGATT